ATTTATTGTATTATATTTATTGTATTATATTTATTGTATTATATTTATTGTATTATATTTATTGTATTATATTTATTTATTATATAGATCAAAGCATTTATTTATTTATTATGTTTATTTATTGTATTGTATTGTGCATTTATTTATTGTATTATATAGATCAACGCATTTAATTAATTAATTAATTATTTATTAGATCAAGAACAAAAGCTTAGATTAAATTATCGCATTCCTGCTAAAGACTTAGACCAAGTATATAATCCTCTAAGCGACGGCAATTGTGGGTTTCGTGCACTTGCCATTGCTATTAGAGGAAACGAAGAAAATTGGGATCTCATTAAATTAGTGATGAACGGCCAACTAAATAAGCGCATGGAAGTTTATAGAGACTGGCTGGGCTATGATATTGATTTACTTAAGCAGATATTAGAGTCCAGAGATTCACCTTGTCAATCTTCACTCTGGTTTTTATCACCTGATTGTGCTCAATTGGCTGCCAATACTTTTTCGGTTCCTATCGCTATTTTCGAGGAAAGAGATGAACAAAGTATGTTGTTTTTTCTGCTAGAAACACCACCAATTCGTCGAAGAAACCCAATTATCTTACATTTTATAAATGGCAATCATATCGTACATGTAAGTATGAAGAATTACGCAGATGTTAATTGGCCACCAGTTAATATCCAGCATATACCAATATGTCGCAAATATAGTCTCGAAGACCATTGGTCAAACCTTTTTACTTAAAATTGGAAATATGGGTAGATGGATAAGCGGCAATAAAGATATCGATGATTATATTAAGCACTACAACTTGATGCTGCAAACATGAGGACATTATTGTTGGATTTCTTTTAATAGATTAGATAGCTTCTAAAAGAGTGGATGGATTTTTAGTAACTTGATATATGGTATGTGATTAGTTCAAAGTAAATGGGTGGATATAAACTGTCATGTACAACATTATATATAGTAAACTTTAGAATTATGACTATTTCACAAAATTTATTAGACATGTTAAAGAAGTAAACTTATATGATTTATTCATTTAATTAATAATGTGAATTCTATTTTATAAGTTTAAAAATCAGTTGCAATTAAAAGGTAACAACCTATTTTATAGTAAATATGTGGACTAATTCAAAACCCGAGCAAAATGAATTATATGTTAAGTTTTGATGCTTTAGTTCTAAAAGAGATAAGGATAATGGAAAGTGCTTATGTTGCAACCGAAATAATGCTCAAGGTCTTGGAATCTGACGTGTGGCTCTTGGAAAACAACATAAAGATGTACAAGCAGAATATGGATATCGATTGTATTAAAGAATTACAACTTAGTGCTTCAAAATATGAAATGTTATCAGTGAATTCCTTTTAATAGATTAAATGTTATTCGACAAATTTTTATCGCATACAGTAATTGTGCATTTAGAATTCTATGTATCAAAGTAATAGTCAAAACTGAAGCACACAACGCATTTACGTTTCTGTAAAGTCTTTTATTTTTATTTTTATTTGGCTCTTAACTCATCCCGCCTGAAATTTTCACATTCATATATTTTTACGCAATGAGCGTATTCTCAGTTAATACTAAAAACATGATCGCTTTCTTATATGTCGTCCTAAGAAATATATGTAATACATCCTACAATTTGATTGGTCCAATTTTGGGGTGTTTATGTCGATCACTGCTGTGCCGATAAGACGATAAGTCACGTGTTGCTGTGCCCGTAGCATTCGCCTACATTATTTGTATCTTCCCCAGCATCGCCAGAAAAATTTTTACTATCACGTGATATTCGACAAATTTCTTTAATTTTGTTTACGTTA